TTTGTATAACTCACTCACTAAATTGGCATTGGCTAGTTTACATATTTGATAATACTTGGTAGGTTGAGTACCAACCTCCAGCTGTCCAGGTTAGAATTGATCTTCAGTAACCCATGCTTGGTGTAAGAGGCGACTAACGGGATTCGGTGGTCAAACTCGCTGACTTGGTTGACACGTCATCGGTTCCCAATTACGAAGATCAATGCTCATGCTGTTGATCACTGGATTGTCTGGTCCAGACTCCATTATTTAAAGACCGCCGCCATATAGCTGGAATATTGCTGACTGCGGCGTAAAACTAATCTCACTCACTCACTGTGTCATGGCTGCTATCGCCTTTCTATTTCTTGCTGTCAACATGTTTTCTCGGTTGATCACACCATCAATTATACATTGACATGTTATACACATGAGCTAACTTGTCAGCTGTGGTAGCTGTTACCTGTAATAGTGCAGTAGATGGGAATTTCTTGATGCATACATTTCATGTCTTCAATGACATTTTCTATAATACTCAATGACCAGGACCCTGTTCCTCAAAGTGATCTGTAGCGCTACAACAGTCATAACTCCCATACTTTAACATAGACTTATGACTGTCGTAGCTACGATGCTTTGAGGAACAGGGCCCTGCTTAGAATATGCTGAACTGATAAACCTAATTTAACTCAGTGCTTTATGTGCCTGCCTGTGGCTGCGTTTGGCTGCTTGTACTAGTCATGAAGTTATTCCCTGTTGTGCAATTTGGACATAGTTACCAACTAGAGAATACACTTTTGTACCTTTCATAAACAATTAGTGTAAGATATGACATACCTGGATATGACGTTCTTCAAGATTGCCTTTTTCCAAATGTCAAACAGTGTTCTTGCGGACATTAATATTCATAATTCTGAATTATGTGGTTCCAAGATTTACCATGAAGGGCATAATTTGACTCCAGACATAAGGTGAAATGAAGTTTTACTTGGTGTTCAAGATTATTTCTCTTAACAGTGTATACCAACATGCACATGTATGTGTGTGGTGCTTGTATGATCTGGACTTAAGTCTGTTTCAGGGTTTTACCTTGCCTTACAAAAGTGGGGGTACAGGGGGTCCTCCTAGACTAACAACTAGTCTCTGAAATGAACATACTTTACTGAAAAAAGTTCATAGTAATAAAAAAATGAATATAATGAAAAGGAGCCCTGAGACTTTCTTTGAGGAAATCTAGACTTACCACATTTTCTAGACTTGAGTGGGCTTTCTTGGATATATTTGCTTCAGGGTCTGTACGACAGACTAGGGTCGTCCCTCAATACATTTTACAGGTCCTTGCTGATAATATGAGGGTTCTGTATGGTACTGAAATGGTGTAGTGTACTGTATATTCCGATAATTACTCCAGATCCTGGAATGAATCAGTGATTATGTGGAAAGTGGTCATGACTGATGGGTGAAATAACAGACAACTACTCTTGATGTGTTGTAGGTAAGCTCTGGGTATTTTTGTGCATCTCTTTGGATGAACTCTGTAGGGTTTTCTGTCTTTCATTCCCTACATCTGCGCATAATGGATCCACATTTGTGCATCACATAAAACCCTGAGCTCTGTAACTTGCCCACTGACACAGCACACCACACCACATATAACCCCATTAAAAAAACACTATTCTTACATGTATTTCCTTCATGTTGAGTGACAGGGTAAAAATTTCTGGTGTGACATGGCCAGGGAACAAACCATAGACTTTTGCGCTCTCTATTAGATGCTTTAAACATGAGTCCAGTGAGATGGTGTGTTCATATGATGTGCAGATGTGTTGTCATGTAAAAAGACTTGTAATGAAATAGAAAATCTATCTTCTTCTTTTTTCCCCATTTTTGCAATGTGTCATGTTTCCATGGGGACCTAAATTACTAATCAGTTCAACTAATTTGTGACACTTTCTTAAGGTGATAGCAAGTGTAACATGCATATGCAATTCCAAAAATTAATAAATAACCTGAAATCATAAAAAGAAGAATATTTTCAATGCTATTGAATATAAGGTTTAATCCATTATTTTAACCAAATTCCAACACTTTTCACAGGCTTTCCACTGGCGTAAAACATTAGACTTTATTTTAAGCACTTGAACAAGTTCCCCATTTCTCTGATGTGATTAAACTATGTCCATTTCCGCAACACAATAAACATACCTCACTCCTTTCAGCCATGCCTTATAAATAATTGAGTGACTGTGGCTAACCACAAAAAACTCAAGGAAGGATTCTCATCAATTTTAATGGACAATTCACCATTCCAATGAAGTTTATGGTGCGTTTCATGCGGCTCTATTATGACATGCATCTTGGACTACAAAGTAATTAGCATGTACCAACCATGACCTTAGATAACGAGATTATTTAAAATTATATTGCTGCTGTGCCGTAGAGTTGAAACAAAAATATCGATGCATTCCAATAGAGTATGTCATAGGATTGTGGCAGGTGACACATCAGCCCTTTATGTGTGGCAAACAGCCAACTGTTTGCCTTGGATTAGGTTGGTGGGCTGAGTAAAGATTGCTGTCATGTTTGCTGTTGTTGACTTTGTCTTATTCTCCCCAGTGTTTATTACACACAAGGCTCAAAAACCTCATCTGGCATTAACATCAAAGACATCTTTCACACAATCAAGAGAAATCAGTCCAAAATTTAGGTGTTGTTTCACTGTGATCTCAGCAGATAAATAAAAATGAATCTATTACGTTTCATTCTTCATGAATAAATTCTGAATATATTCCTATCTACTAATTACTTGGATACTGAGAAATGCACATGACATACAACTTATTAACATTCCTTGATGAAATTAACCTTGTGAAAATGCTTAAACTAGCCGGCTTTACTATGCTGAACTCATTGTATCAGTATTGTAGCCAATCACAAGGTGACCACTACCTTGATTAATAAACAATAATAGGTTAAACTCGACTCACCTGCACTTCAATAACAAAAAATAGGATAAAATTCAAAGACTCTTTAAACTTATTCAAAAGCTTCTTTTACATGTGAGTTTAAGAAATTAGTAAATGTTTGGACATGTATTTCCAATTACTAAATAATTCCTTTCATGAAAAGGCTTGACATTTCAGTAAACAATTGCAATACTTAAAGTGTGACATGTTCTGTTATCCATATTATATGTATTTAATACTAAGAAATAAATGCATGGTCATATTGAAACTGACTTTTCTCATCAAAGTGAATATTTTGCAAATCTCAAATGAGCCAAAGATTCAATGAATGTGAGTGAGTTTAGTTTTACACTGCTTTTAGCAATATCCCAGCAATAACATCGGGAAATGGACTTCACACATTGTACCCCTGTGAGGAATCGAATCCCAGTCTTCGGTGTGACGACCAAACGCTTAAACTAGGCTACCCCACCGCCCCCCAAAGATTCAAACATGAGATCTGTAACGGTCTTAATCCTTTGACTGAGGCATCAACAACCAAATTAGGTACCTATGGCTTTCTACATATCTATACCAAACCCGTCAGCATGTGTACTGCATCAACACAAGACCAAGGTAAACACACTCGAGACGTTGGGCTACTTGGATGTTGGTGAGGATGTCTACGTATTGATAAAAAGATAGTGTTCGCAACACACGCAGATTTCTGATGAGCGATCAAGACAAACTCAGCCAAAGATGATTGATTCGGCCATAGCAGTCTTCGAACACTTATGTCATTATTTCTAGTATGATGAACAAGGAAATAATGATTGTTCTATTTAAATCACAAGTTTTCAATCAGATTACAATTTGTTGTAAATGTGTTTAATACAGCCTGGAAATTATATGTTTCCCTAGATATCAAGGATGGCATTTTGCACATAATTTACTCGGGAGTGGATGGTATTACATCAGTGATTATGACATTTTCCGTCTCATTCTGCTGTCTGCCATGGTCAGTGTACGATGCATTGAGAATCACTCCCATGTAAATGAGATGTATCTTAATTCTATTTGCTTGATTACCCAGGTATTGAGATGAGAAGCAATCCATCCAAATACCCATCATCAGATCAATACTTTTTATCTCATGTACAATGTCCACCAGATCAAGGAGAATGCTACAAGTCAGAACAGGAAGCGCAAAAGGGAAAGAGAAGCATTATCCATAGAATTTCAAGGGCTAATCATGAATACTTTTTCTTCACCTGACTTAGAAATGTGGTATTCCAGCCTGATAAATAATGCTTATACACATTATCCACTATATTTAAAATAGACAGAGTTATTAGTACTTTTGCCCCAAATATGAATGTACAGGTAGGCTAATATACTACTCACACTTTGCTAAGGATCACAAAAATTCCCAACTTTACTTAAACATAGATTTATAATTTGAAATTGTATCCATTTAAAACTAGATAAATAATGATATGGTAACCCCTCTTTAGTCAAACAGCCACATTAATCTAACCTTATGTACTTGATACATGAGTAGCCATAAAATGTTTTTATGGTGCCAATCAACCATTTTGTAAATCATGGAACAAGTCATTGACAAGTACACAACACCAGTGAATAGCAGGTATGGGATCCACAAGATGTAGTGACATACTGAAACCTAGGATCCATGCTTACAATAAGCTTAGATATTTAAACAAAATTAGACCCCACATCATAGTTTCTGTTGAATCAATGGTTTGATCCTTAGCAAAATGTGAATAGTATACATCAAGACAAGAACTTATCCAGTCAAACAGATCTCAGTTCAAATGATCAATGTCTGAGGCTGCACTACTTATGCAGATGACCATGCAAATGTGGTAAATGGCCTTACTGTGCTATAAATTGGTAAAAAATACTTTATTCAGAGTCCATCAGTAGTTATGTGAAAGAAGTCTGTGGAAAACATTTTTAACTTGACCTCCCATTGCTGAGGATGATGCATTAGCCACCCACAGATGTAAGCCCTTTTTTGAGCTTAAAGTCAATTGAAATTTGATCAGAACTTACCAATTTCACATCTCTCTCCTTGAAACTCTGTACGTGTACAGTCACATACAAGGCCATGATCAGTTGTCAGACAGGATCCACTGTTTAAACAGGGGTTCCCTTGCTCGCATAAATCGGCTTCATTACCCAGAATTCCTTGTGAATCGATCATTTCTGGCCTTTCAGGTAGAGCACCACAATTACTATAAAACACATTCCGAATAGACCCACGGAACTTTGGTTCAAAGAGGACTGATGGAAGTGACAGTTTTGAGAGTTCACGATCATATTCTTCAGGTAATCCACCCATGAATAAGAATCTATCTTCAGTAACATTCTCTGAATCGAAATCAACTCCTAATGATTTTCTTCTGAATTCAATTGAGTCCACCATTAATGTAGTGTCCAAATTATTTCGAATAATCTCTACTTTGTGCCAAGCATTATCATTCAAATTTGACCCAGCAGATAATATGACAAGTCCTTTGCCAAAATTAACTTTCAATTTGGCAATCCCGTCAACAAGTTTAAGCTCCAAGTACTTCTTTTGGCCACTGTCAAAATAAAATAGCAATGCATTTGGACGATCTGTTTGAAATTCAAAATTAAGAGTTCCATTTAAGCATGGTTCCCAGCCAGGAAATTTTGCATAAGACCCTGCTGAACCATCTAGGGAGAAGCCAAGGCATCTGGGTAGGACCAGTGCCAGAAGCACAAGATTTAACAGGAACATTCCGTAATGTGACATTTTGGCACTGAACATCATGATTCACATGCAATTAGCACCTCATACTAACAAGGACACCTCTATCTTCTGGCTTATGGCAAGACCAAATTGAATCCAATAGTGTTGATATGCAGATAATGGTGGTGGTGTTTCATAGTTGAGCAACGATGTAGATTGGCAAATGTATCACAGTTCAGTCACTTGTGTACTGCAGGAAGCATCCAAATCTGCAAAATAAAACAGAACTATGAGCATGTGATGCTAATTAATATGAACTTCTTACAAATCATTCAAACCATTTTCAAGGTCATCCATGTTCTAATCACCAGAAATGAGATAGTGGGATAAAAGTTTTCATGTGATGGCCAATTTGCGTGCATATTTTTTTACTTCCTGAAAGAAAACAGATAGATAGGATAACAAATCACACTTTCATCTCTTGAGACTTTTCTGCATATGACTTTAACCTTATCATTATGTCCACAATCTAATAACAGGCACTTCACCAGCTGATGACAAATTTTCCGCATAGACAATCTCTGGCAAGTTGGTAATCATGCGTTCATAACTAATCATTGCACAATTTATGAGGCAGCATTCTGATGCTCTGAGCTACCAAGAAGGAGAGTTATTTACTAAACCGAGCCTCATTTCAACGAACATTAGCACAGAAGATTGGGTTTGTGGAATCTCGAGACATCTATTAAGTTCCAGGAATAAAATCAGTTTCATCTAAGGAAAGGTCCCAGTTGCTGGTTCAGTAACTAGACTAACAATTGTAGATGAAGACAATTTTCTGATTACTTTCCATAGACATCCTAAGCCAGAGTTGTTGGAGATTTTATTGAGATATGTTACCGTAATGTCTAGCCGTTCCTATTGGTTAGGGGTTCTGAAAGCATCCACACTTTGGCAATGAATGTAATTATGTATATATGGACCGACTGAATTACATTTGAGAATAGTTAGCTCTGGCTGGATGTTATCAGAAGCAGTACCCAGGATTACGACCTGCCTATGTGAGATATTACAATAGTCAACTGGGTTAAAGTCAAGGACTCAACTGACTTCTTCACCCAATGTTTGAAGAGTGCTTTGACGCCAGTAATCAATGTTGACACACTTGTTATACCAAACGTTGGTCTTGTATAATGATGCCGTTTTGTATCCTCCTAGGGAATGCTAGATAGGTCTATATTAGGACTGGTATACTGCAATACAATTTTCAAACGATACGTATTGCAATTTTTTCATGAGAACCAGTATCTTGGGTAAAAGAATAAAAAAGTCAAAAGACATATCTCAATGAAGCATATAGGGTTGTTTCATTAAGTTTATTTTGAGGACAACGTGATTCAAGTGCAAGGCTGTTATAAATGGATATTATCTATCATTACACTATCTCAAACCATCCTTTTTGTGATTCAGGTTACCATCACATGTTTGCGAAGAGTGCCAACATTGAGGCAGGATTCATATACCTTTTGTGAACACCTGAAACTTTGTGAACACCTGAAACATCACTATTTCTTATTACTGACTGACTGACTGAGAGTTTATGTTTTACGCTGCTTTTAGCAATATTCCAGCAACATCACGGCGGGGACACCACCAGAAATGGGCTTCACAAATTGTGCCCATGTGGGGATTCGAACCCGGGTCTTCGGCGTGACGAGCCAACACTTTACCCATTAGGCTACCCCAACACCCCTTCTTATTACTTATGATATGGACTGAGATGATTTTATAATTACAGAAAAAGTAGCTTGTCAATATTATCAGACTAAGACATGGCCAGAATTCTAACCCCCCCCCCTCCCAAAAAACTATGGAAGGACTACTTGTTTTCTACCAAATTCAAAGTGTCTAGTAATGAATCCATTTAAGTAGTTGTACAAAGCACTAAACCACCAGACCCTAATGAGCTGTGTCTGAATTGCTGGGTTTGCCTCATGGCCACTATCCCTGTAGAAGCCTATAAACTATAAAACAAGAAATACACAGTGCCTTGCTTGTAAGAAACCACAGACCAGACAGTAATCTTGATTGTAACATTTACTTTTTTACACTACAATTTGCACAGCAGGAGTCAAATTTGATAGAGCAGGACAAAGTTGTAATCTGAGGGAACTGCCTCTGTCTTCATTTACAGTTATACAACATTAGGCCCCATGTTAATACATGTAGACAAGACGTATCACATCAAACGTTTTTATTACGCACCATTCACTTGATTATTCTGCCTGGTGGCACATAACAATTGCTTTTATACCTAATACTTATCCGTGTATACACAACCATCTCCCACTCAGCTGGTAATTCAACATTGGCAAGATTTAGACTGATAACAGACAATGCTCTATTGTTCAATTATCTCCTATGACAACAGTAAATGCTGGCTGTGTGCAGTCCCAGCATTAATGTAGCAATACAGCAAAAAACGAATCATCTATACTGAACTCATAGGTACAATAGTTCCTTTACGAAATTGTAATTATGTGCTTATTTAGCACACTGTTGGTGTACGTAATGGATGCAGAAATTCTGAACATAATTTTGTGAGGTTTGAATCTCAGGTCTTCAGGATAAATTTTCTCCCAGACTTGTGTACAATTGGGATAACTGTTATCTCAGAGAAAGCATAAACGAAAACATAATTGAGCTTCTCTTTGCTTTCAACACTGGCTCTGGATAATGCTGGCTTAAATGTGTCTTTCATATTTCTTAGATCAATACGAAAGAAAAACATCCCATGGTTACATAAGTGTCCATAACAAAAAGTATAATTACATGCCTAATCTCTATCAAATAAGTTCAGCACTAAAGCATCTTCAAAGAGCTGAGCAAATTCTTTTTGAAATAGCACACAATTTTATCCACTCCCTGATTCCAGCTGATACGAGAAACAAAATTCACACACAAACATTGTTCATGAGTGAGTTTAGTTTTACACCGCTTTTAGCAATATTAAAGCTTCTCATGGTCTTCACACATTGTACCCATGTGGGGAATCGAACCCGGGTCTTCGGCGTGATGAACTAACACCTTAACCACTAGATTACCCCTAGTGGTGTTCCGATTAATTGAAATAATCGAAGATCAGTCGCAGTGACCAAACGACCAAGCAATCGATCACATTTTCTCATAATCGAACACGAACGATTTTGGAACCACTGTTCTAGTGTTTGAAACACTTGACGATGGAACATATCTCAGAAATTGTCAGGGCCTGAAAACATGTTTAATTCTTAGAAAACTCACTTCATTTAATGTAAAGACATGACTGAATATTTCTTGAATTCTAAAGGGAGGTTTTTCTTCATGATATATTAGTCATCACTTTAAAGTAGCAAGTTGCATCATGTTATACTTATTTGAAATAACAACCTGAACAGGAAAATCTGAAAATGCTGCTAACCAATTTTTTAAAGATTATGACATTTCAACCAATTCCCAACACTAGCTACCACGCCACCCCACACATTGGTCATGATATCCAAGCCATAAATACTCACTGTATTAGTGGTTCACTTTTTAAGTTTACAGTTCTCTACTGACAAGAACAAACCTATCAGGTTACAGATCCAATACAAAAGTGCACCTCAATAAGTCATGTATATGACTTTAACACATAGGTTTATTGAAACTAAACAGCCTTGAAATGGTCTTATGTTACATCTCAAATGCTTCTGGGTACATCATTAACACCTTTGCACTCTTCTAACAGGTACCCACTAGTAACTGATGAGGGCATGCTAATGATCATTGAATATCACTGTACACAACTTCATTCCTTATGTTTTTAGAAATTATCTTTGTTGTGAAAGTTCAGTTGCATTCTTCACAAAAGATCATATAAATTCAAAAGTGGCATGACAAAAAACAAAGCTTAATCTTCATCCTGAAGAAGAAAAATTCCATTTTGGGCACAAAAAACGAATATCATAGATTTTCCAGGGCATAAATTCTAAACTTTGTATTTCGCAGATGAAAAAAAATGAGGCCCCTCTTTGAAAAGAACCAGGTGCAGAAATGTGAAGCCTTGCCTTGCTGCAAAGAGAGCAAAACACTGACTGTGATTCTGGATCATCCCCTACACGAGACTGAAGTTATCTGGGGATTACAGAGGGATAAGTCAGAGATCTCACCAACAGAACGATAAAGTGGAAGAAAGCTGGCAGAGGCAACAGTTACACAGACACCAACACTTGAAAGGACGAAAACAGATACAGTCATTGCAATAATTGCCCCTTTGATATTGACAGTGAGTGAGTATGTTTTTATTCCGCTTTTTATGCCGGGGGACACAAGATATGGGCATCACATAAGTTTTGGAATTGAACCTGGGTCTTCAGCATCATAAGCAAATGCTTTAACCATTAGGCTACCATATCATCCCTTGATAATAACAACTACTTACGTGACTAGACCAGGATAGGGATATCACCCTGGTGTTCTAACAATGTTCTTGGTACATATACATGGACATTCCTGCCATGTAGTGATATCCCCTTAAAACAAGCTGTCAGCCGTCTTTATCTAAACTGTAGTTAGCAGAAATTAACAGAAAAAAACAACCCCAAATGAGAAAGTTTTTGACTTATGTGTAACTAAGTAAGGAATAGTATTCTTCCAACTACTGTACTGTCAATATGACAACCAGTAAGCTATGTATATAATGAACACACTTTAAACTGACAGACTGTTTTGTCTCAGCCACTAGATGTATAGTTTAGTCAGATGTATATAGCTACCGTTATAATGAACTAAAATTAATGGTCTGTTTTGATATTGTTATAAATATAGTTGACTGTATGTGGTTACTTCTTATGAAATTTGGTGCAGTTTCTAATAATACCTTGATATCATTATCAAAAGAGAAAAAAACTAAGATGTGGATGAGTTATTTGTTTAAAATCCTTTACTTCTACATATTTAATGAGTAATAATAGTCCTTGATGACTATTTCAGAACAACAAGGAGATAAAAGTCAAAATGTCCATGTTTAGGATATAAATCAATACCTTATCACATTTTAATAATAAAAGTGACCAATCCATAACCCCAACCCCATAATCAGAAGAATCTTCCCATCCCTTGTAAGCTTCTATGTCAAGAATATGTGTTTATGAATTATTATCGAAAAGTGACGATAAGGAACAAAGAAACATCCATTATATATATTGCCTGCTATCAGGACATCTACTTCCAGTATTTGTTACACTGT